CACTGTGATAGAATGGAGGAATAGACTGTGAGCTCTATGTGACATATAATGACACACTGGGATAGAATGGAGGAATAGACTGTGAGCTCTATGTGACATATAATGTGACACTGGGATAGAATGGAGGAATAGACTGTGAGACCTATGTGGCATATAATGGCACACCCTGAGATAGAATAGAGGAATAGACTATGAGCTCTATGTGACATATAATGGCACACACTGAGATAGAATAGAGGAATAGACTGTGAGCTCTATGTGACATATAATGGCACACACTGAGATAGAATAGAGGAATAGACTGTGAGCTCTATGTGACATATAATGGCACACTGTGATAGAATAGAGGAATAGACTGTGAGACCTATGTGACATATAATGGCACACACTGCGATAGAATGGAGGAATAGACTGTGAGCTCTATGTGACATATAATGGCACACACTGAGATAGAATAGAGGAATAGACTGGGAGTTCTATGTGACATATAATGGCACACACTGAGATAGAATGGAGGAATAGACTGTGAGCTCTATGTGACATATAATGACACACTGAGATAGAATGGAGGAATAGACTGTGAGACCTATGTGACATATAATGGCACACACTGAGATAGAATAGAGGAATAGACTGGGAGTTCTCTGTGGCATATAATGGCACACACTGCGATAGAATGGAGGAATAGACTGTGAGCTCTATGTGACATATAATGGCACACTGTGATAGAATGGAGGAATAGACTGGGAGTCCTATGTGACATATAATGGCACACACTGAGATAGAATGGAGGAATAGACTGTGAGCTCTATGTAACATATAATGGCACACTGTGATAGAATGGAGGAATAGACTGTGAGCTCTATGTGACATATAATGGCACACTGTGATAGAATGGAGGAATAGACTGTGAGCTCTATGTGACATATAATGGCACACCCTGAGATAGAATGGAGGAATAGACTGTGAGCTCTATGTGACATATAATGGCACACTGTGATAGAATGGAGGAATAGACTGGGAGTCCTATGTGACATATAATGGCACACACTGAGATAGAATGGAGGAATAGACTGTGAGCTCTATGTGACATATAATGGCACACTGTGATAGAATGGAGGAATAGACTGTGAGCTCTATGTGACATATAATGACACACTGGGATAGAATGGAGGAATAGACTGTGAGCTCTATGTGACATATAATGGCACACACTGAGATAGAATGGAGGAATAGACTGTGAGCTCTATGTGGCATATAATGGCACACACTGAGATAGAATAGAGGAATAGACTGTGAGACTTATGTGACATATAATGACACACTGAGATAAAATGGAGGAATAGACTGTGAGCTCTATGTGACATATAATGGCACACACTGAGATAGAATGGAGGAATAGACTGTGAGCTCTATGTGACATATAATGACACACTGGGATAGAATGGAGGAATAGACTGTGAGCTCTATGTGACATATAATGTGACACTGGGATAGAATGGAGGAATAGACTGTGAGACCTATGTGGCATATAATGGCACACCCTGAGATAGAATGGAGGAATAGACTGTGAGCTCTATGTGACATATAATGGCACACACTGAGATAGAATGGAGGAATAGACTGTGAGCTTTATGTGGCATATAATGGCACACACTGAGATAGAATAGAGGAATAGACTGTGAGACCTATGTGACATATAATGACACACTGAGATAGAATGGAGGAATAGACTGCGAGCTCTATGTGACATATAATGACACACTGGGATAGAATGGAGGAATAGACTGTGAGCTCTATGTGACATATAATGGCACACACTGAGATAGAATGGAGGAATAGACTGTGAGCTCTATGTGACATATAATGACACACTGGGATAGAATGGAGGAATAGACTGTGAGCTCTATGTGACATATAATGTGACACTGGGATAGAATGGAGGAATAGACTGTGAGACCTATGTGGCATATAATGGCACACCCTGAGATAGAATGGAGGAATAGACTGTGAGCTCTATGTGACATATAATGACACACACTGAGATAGAATGGAGGAATAGACTGGGAGCTCTATGTGACATATAATGGCACACACTGAGATAGAATGGAGGAATAGACTGTGAGCTCTATGTGACATATAATGGCACACACTGAGATAGAATGGAGGAATAGACTGTGAGCTCTATGTGACATATAATGGCACACACTGAGATAGAATGGAGGAATAGACTGTGAGCTCTATGTGACATATAATGGCACACACTGAGATAGAATGGAGGAATAGACTGGGAGCTCTATGTGACATATAATGGCACACTGTGATAGAATGGAGGAATAGACTGGGAGCTCTATGTAACATATAATGGCACACTGTGATAGAATGGAGGAATAGACTGGGAGCTCTATGTGACATATAATGGCACACTGAGATAGAATGGAGGAATAGACTGTGAGCTCTATGTGACATATAATGGCACACTGTGATAGAATGGAGGAATAGACTGGGAGTCCTATGTGACATATAATGTGACACTGGGATAGAATGGAGGAATAGACTGTGAGCTCTATGTGGCATATAATGGCACACTGTGATAGAATGGAGGAATAGACTGGGAGTCCTATGTGACATATAATGGCACACTGTGATAGAATGGAGGAATAGACTGGGAGTCCTATGTGACATATAATGGCACACTGTGATAGAATGGAGGAATAGACTGGGAGTCCTATGTGACATATAATGTGACACTGGGATAGAATGGAGGAATAGACTGTGAGCTCTATGTGGCATATAATGGCACACTGTGATAGAATGGAGGAATAGACTGGGAGTCATATGTGACATATAATGGCACACTGTGATAGAATGGAGGAATAGACTGGGAGTCCTATGTGACATATAATGGCACACTGTGATAGAATGGAGGAATAGACTGGGAGTCCTATGTGACATATAATGGCACACTGAGATAGAATGGAGGAATAGACTGTGAGACCTATGTAACATATAATGACACACTGGGATAGAATGGAGGAATAGACTGTGAGTCCTATGTGACATATAATGGCACACTGTGATAGAATGGAGGAATAGACTGGGAGTCCTATGTGACATATAATGGCACACACTTGGAGAGTGATTGAACGGATAATTGAACTGTGACTAGAAAGTGCAAAGAAACAGAAGAGAGGCAATGACGCCAATAAATACAACTGTACATTCCCACCAAAGTATGTATCAATGAATTAAACAATAATTCACATCACGTTGAGAAATACACTATACAGCTGACAACATAGGGACCTTAAAACTGTGTCATTTTCTCTGATCTTTGAAGTCTTGTCGCCGAAATATCTTCAGAAATTACCAAATTCTCACCCCCCTTCCCAACACCCCTCCTTCCGTATAAATAATATATATATGTATATATAGCTGGGGACGACCATCCTGCCAACTGTTGTCAGAAATCTGTCGTTCCGATACAGTTTTTGTGACCTCTCCGCGGGTGATCCTCATCCGCATGATGTCACTTTGTGTCACCAGGTGTTTATTAGTTGGTCGATGTCCTGGTGGGTTTAAATCTCATTCTCCTGCCAGGTACTACAGTATATTGTCCCAAACAATGAGATTTTCTCAGCTCTAAATGAAAGAAATTGTCATGTGACAGGCAGCAGCGCCACCACAAAGACAACTTGAACGAATTGAGCCCCCCCCCCCCCCATCCTCACCCCTAACTGTCTGGCGGACTCAAGCGACTTGTTAGCCAGGCTCCAGCGCCTCTGCTGTGAACATTTTTTGGAATCATAAATGCCAAAGTGGCAACTGTTTACTAAATGTTTATGTAAAACAATTGCTGGGAAACTTGAGTGCTCTTTCTATGTGTGTAAGTAAAATAATTATGTGGGAGTGAGCTCTGTTTTCTGTCTGCATCTGAAATCTTTGATTCGACAAATCCATTGTTTGTCTACACAGACTAGACACATTCATTATTTGTCTACACAGACTAGACACATCCAGTGTTTGTCTCCAACCTCAAACCTCATTGTTTGTCTCAAAACCTCATTGTTTTTCTCAAACCTTATTGTTTGTCTACACAGACTCAACACATCTAATGTTTGTCTACACAGACTAGTTACATCCATTGTTTGTCTCCAAACTCAAACCTCATTGTTTGTCTCCAAACCTCATTGTTTTTCTCAAACCTCATTGTTTGTCTACACAGACTCAACACATCCAATGTTTGTCTACACAGACTAGACACATCCATTGTCTGTCTCAAACCTCATTGTTTGTCACCAACCTTATTGTTTATCTAAAACCTCATTGTTTATCTCAACCTCAAACCTCATTGTTGATCTCAACCTCAAACCTCATTGTTTATCACAAACCTCAAACCTCATTGTTTATCTCAATCTCAAACCTCATTGTTTATCTCAACCTCAAACCTCATTGTTTATCTCAACCTCAAACCTCATTGTTTATCACAAACCTCAAACCTCATTGTTTGTCACAAACCTCATTGTTTATCTCAAACCTCAAACCTCATTGTTTATCTCAAACGTCAAACCTAAATGTTTGTCTACACAGACTACACACATCCATTGTTTGTCTCACACCTCAAACCTCATTGTTTTTCTCAAACCTCATTGTTTGACTACACAGACTCAACGCATCCACTGTTTGTCTACACAGACTAGACACATCCAGCGATGGTCTACACAGAATAGACACATCCATTCTTTGTCTAAACAGACCAGACACATCCATTCTTTGTCTACACAGACTAGACACATCCATTCTTTGTCTAAACAGACCAGACACGTCCATTATTTGTCTACACAGACTAGACACATCCATTCTTTGTCTAAACAGACCAGACACATCCATTCCTAGTCTAAACAGACCAGACACATCCATTCTTTGTCTACACAGACTCGACACATCCATTGTTTGTTTTGCTTCTGACTTTTCAGTCTGACCGACCTGACTGCGGAGTGATGGCTGTAAACGTGCAACTGTTGTTGCTGCTGATGTATGGGATGGCGCTGCTATCACCAACGGAGTACAGCAACGTCACGAACATAACACCCAGGTGTCTACAAAAAACTGCTGGTAGGTCACGTGGGTCTGGACAGGGCTGGGGTGGCTGCACATCGCGCCTTTTCGGGGACATTGCCATGCCAAAACACTGATACCAGGTTGTAGCCCAATGTCGTGGTTTTGTCGTCTCGCTGATACTAGGTTGTAGCCCAATGTCGTGGTTTTGTAGTCTCGCTGATACCAGGTTGTAACCGAGTATCGTGGTTTTGTCATCTTACTGATACCAGTTTGTAGCCCAGTGTCGTGGTTTTGTCGTCTCACTGATACCAGGTTGTAGCCCATTGTCGTAGTTTTGTCGTCTCACTGATACCAGGTTGTAGCCTTGTGTCGTGGTTTTGTCATCTCACTGATACCAGGTGTAGCCCAGTGTTGTGGTTTTGTCGTCTCACTGATACCAGGTGTAGCCCAGTATCGTGGTTTTGTCATCTTACTGATACCAGATTGTAGCCCAGTGTCGTGGTTTTGTCGTCTCACTGATACCAGGTTGTAGCGCAGTGTCGTGGTTTTGTCGTCTCACTGATACCAGGTTGTAGCCTTGTGTCGTGGTTTTGTCATCTCACTGATACCAGGTGTAGCCCAGTGTTGTGGTTTTGTCGTCTCACTGATACCAGGTTGTAGCCCAGTGTCGTGGTTTTGTCGTCTCACTGATACCAGGTTGTAGCTCAGTGTTGTGGTTTTGTCGTCTCACTGATACCAGGTGTAGCCCAGTGTCGTGGTTTTGTCGTCTCACTGATACCAGGTGTATCCCAATGTTGTGGTTTTGTCGTCTCATTGATACCAGGTGTAGCCTTGTGTCATGCTTTTGTCGTCTCACTGATACCAGGTGTAGCCCAGTGTCGTGGTTTTGTCGTCTCATTGATACCAGGTGTAGCCTTGTGTCGTGGTTTTGTCGTCTCACTGATACCACGTGTAGCCCAGTGTTGTGGTTTTGTCGTCTCACTGATACCAGGTGTAGCCTTGTGTCGTGGTTTTGTCGTCTCACTGATACCAGGTGTAGCCCAGTGTTGTGGTTTTGTCGTCTCACTGATACCAGGTGTAGCCCAGTGTTGTTGTTTTGTCGTCTCACTGATACCAGATGTAGCCTTGTGTCGTGGTTTTGTCGTCTCACTGATACCAGGTGTAGCCCAGTGTTGTGGTTTTGTCGTCTCACTAATACCAGGTGCAGCCAAGTGTTGTGGTTTTGTCGTCTCACTGATACCAGGTGTAGCCCAGTGTTGTGGTTTTGTCGTCTCACTGATACCAGGTGTAGCCCTGTGTCGTGGTTTTGTCGTCTCACTGATACCAGGTGTAGCCCAGTGTTGTGGTTTTGTCGTCTCACTGATACCAGGTGTAGCCCAGTGTTGTGGTTTTGTCGTCTCACTGATACCAGGTGTAGCCCAGTGTTGTGGTTTTGTCGTCTCACTGATACCAGGTGTAGCCCAGTGTTGTGGTTTTGTCGTCTCACTGATACCAGGTGTAGCCTTGTGTCGTGGTTTTGTCGTCTCACTGATACCAGGTGTAGCCCAGTGTTGTGGTTTTGTCGTCTCGCTAATACCAGGCTGAGCCCAGTGTTGTGGTTTTGTCGTCTCACTGATACCAGGTGTAGCCCAGTGTTGTGGTTTTGTCGTCTCACTGATACCAGGTGTAGCCTTGTGTCGTGGTTTTGTCGTCTCACTGATACCAGGTGTAGCCCAGTGTTGTGGTTTTGTCGATTCACTGATACCAGGTGTAGCCCAGTGTTGTGGTTTTGTCGTCTCACTGATACCAGGTGTAGCCCAGTGTCGTGGTTTTGTCGTCTCACTGATACCAGGTGTAGCCCAGTGTTGTGGTTTTGTCGATTCACTGATACCAGGTGTAGCCCAGTGTTGTGGTTTTGTCGTCTCACTGATACCAGGTGTAGCCCAGTGTTGTGGTTTTGTCGATTCACTGATACCAGGTGTAGCCCAGTGTTGTGGTTTTGTCGTCTCACTGATACCAGGTGTAGCCCAGTGTTGTGGTTTTGTCGTCTCACTGATACCAGGTGTAGCCCAGTGTTGTGGTTTTGTCGATTCACTGATACCAGGTGTAGCCTTGTGTCGTGGTTTTGTCGTCTCACTGATACCAGGTGTAGCCCAGTGTTGTGGTTTTGTCGTCTCACTGATACCAGGTGTAGCCTTGTGTCGTGGTTTTGTCGTCTCATTGATACCAGGTGTAGCCCAGTGTTGTGGTTTTGTCGTCTCGCTGATACCAGGCTGAGCCCAGTGTTGTGGTTTTGTCGTCTCACTGATACCAGGTGTAGCCTTGTGTCGTGGTTTTGTCGTCTCACTGATACCAGGTGTAGCCCAGTGTTGTGGTTTTGTCGTCTCACTGATACCAGGTGTAGCCCAGTGTTGTGGTTTTGTCGTCTCACTGATACCAGGTGTAGCCTTGTGTCGTGGTTTTGTCGTCTCACTGATACCAGGTGTAGCCCAGTGTTGTGGTTTTGTCGTCTCACTGATACCAGGTGTAGCCTTGTGTCGTGGTTTTGTCGTCTCATTGATACCAGGTGTAGCCCAGTGTTGTGGTTTTGTCGTCTCACTGATACCAGGTGTAGCCCAGTGTTGTGGTTTTGTCGTCTCACTGATACCAGGTGTAGCCTTGTGTCGTGGTTTTGTCGTCTCACTGATACCAGGTGTAGCCCAGTGTTGTGGTTTTGTCGTCTCACTGATACCAGGTGTAGCCCAGTGTTGTGGTTTTTTTTTTCGTCTCACTGATACCAGGTGTAGCCTTGTGTCGTGGTTTTGTCGTCTCACTGATACCAGGTGTAGCCCAGTGTTGTGGTTTTGTCGTCTCACTGATACCAGGTGTAGCCCAGTGTTGTGGTTTTGTCGTCTCACTGATACCAGGTGTAGCCTTGTGTCGTGGTTTTGTCGTCTCACTGATACCAGGTGTAGCCCAGTGTTGTGGTTTTGTCGTCTCTCTGATACCAGGTGTAGCCTTGTGTCGTGGTTTTGTCGTCTCACTGATACCAGGTGTAGCCCAGTGTCGTGGTTTTGTCGTCTCACTGATACCAGGTGTAGTCTTGTGTCGTGGGTTTTCTGTATTGGTCTTGCGCTGCTCGGGTGGCTTGCTTGATACATTTGTTCATCTGTTGCAGGTTTCAGCTACACCATTTATCCATCTCTTTCCTGGTCTTCCTCTCGCCTTTCTCCCAGGGTTCAATTGTTGACAAGTCTCACACACAGTCTGGCTGAATTCTAACTATACAGCCGAGCTATTTCATTCTTTGTCTATTAGTATAATCCAGACATGGTCCTATTCCAGCTTTCTCTCTAATGCTGATAGTCGTAACCCTGCTGTGTGGTCTCCAAAGGTTCCGTGTTCAATCCGCGGTAAGGGCTGGGATTTTTTTTTTCACGTGAACTTGGACTTCTAGTAATTCCCCCTTGGCCTTGGGTAGTAAGATCAGACGCCTTTGTGCATGTTGCACGTAAAAACAAAATCCCCTGGCAGTTAAAAATTGAAAAGAGTAGCCTAACGGCTCTGCCGGGGCTGAGTTTTGAGTTAAACGTCTACCTAAAGTATTTCAGGATCCTCACCGGCGCTACAGAGCCTGTGCAAGGCTCCTTTGGACTCAGACGGAGCACTTTTAGGTTACTACCCGTGTGCCATGAATTGATCTGTTGTTCAAACCTTCTCGCTTTTCTGTAGTTGATGTAGTCTTCATCTGATTTTGTCTTCTGCCATTTATAAAATCATTTTTTTTTTTTTTTTGCTAAACAGAAATAATAACATTCTCATTCCACCACGGTGTATGTTTTTTTTTTTAATGAGTACCTAGCTCAGCTCTCTTTCACCGTGTTCAGGGTGCAGGTTTGAAAAGTCTGTCACTTATCTTCTATGTTGTTTACACTGTAAGGATGTTAAAGAAGATTCTGACTGCTCTATTTCCTCCGCAACTTCTTTATCTTTTAGTTTCACGATGTTTATTACCTCTGCTGGTTGAACTGGTTTCTTGGGGTGTGTTCCAGCTGGTTTATGAAGAAAACGGGCCACTGGTCTATAGTCTGAATCTGTTAGTGCTTTTGGGATGACCCTGGAATTCTTTATTCTCTATCTCTCTCTCTTTCTCTCTCTCCTTGTCAATATAAAATCAGTCTGTGATGCTTGACTTGAGTTGTTCCATCTATACAATGTTGATATCTGACTTCTTCGATGTTGATAAAATATGTTACTGATAGTGAAGTCATGTTCTGTTGATGATATATATGAGACAATTGTTGTAGGCGATTGCATAATGTTTCTAGTGACCGATACAAATGTAAGTAGAAGTAGATGATTGAATCCTGATTTTGTTTACCTCATCTTTCCGCATCAATATCTTATCTCTCTGATTCCATTCCACACACACACACACACCCACTCACACACACATACGCACACACACACACACACACACACACAAACACACAAGAAATATAACTAAAGAGATTCAGAAGACGGACAGTTTGTTTGTTCGTTGTAGAATAAGGAGAACAAGATAGACAATAGTTTAGTGTATCCACGGCTGTAGAATAAGGAGAACAAGATAGACAATAGTTTAGTGTATCAACGGTTGTAGAATAAGGAGAACAAGATAGACAATAGTTTAGTGTATCAACGGTTATAGAATAAGGTGAACAAGATAGACAATAGTTTAGTGTATCAACGGTTGTAGAATAAGGAGAGCAAGATAGACAATAGTTTAGTGTATCCACGGCTGTAGAATAAGGTGAACAAGATAGACAATAGTTTAGTGTATCCACGGTTGTAGAATAAGGAGAACAAGATAGACAATAGTTTAGTGTATCCACGGTTGTAGAATAAGGAGAACAAGATAGACAATAGTTTAGTGTATCCACGGCTGTAGAATAAGGTGAACAAGATAGACAATATTTTAGTGTATCCACGGTTGTAGAATAAGGAGAACAAGATAGACAATAGTTTAGTGTATCAATGGCTGTAGAATAAGGAGAACACGATAGACAATAGTTTAGTGTATCCACGGTTGTAGAATAAGGAGAACAAGATAGACA